CAGTTATGGAATGGATAGGATGAAAAAGACCAAATTTATGGTTCCCTGAGGGAGGAAATTATTTCCAGAGATGGCAAAGCCACCCAGGGAAATAGTTTCCTGTTGAGAGTGAAACTATAACTTGGCTATTTCCAGAGTAGTATAAAATGTCACATGGGGAATGAGTAGTGTCAAATGTTACATGGAAATAGAAGAGTGAATAGTATGAAATGTCACATGGAAGTTGTTTATGTGTAGATAACTACTGATTTAAGTCATTTATCTTTAGCTGTATAGTGGAACATGGAGAGAAAGTCAATCTCCCTCGACTTCTGATGAGTCAGTTCCGCTGGTTAGACAGGATCTTGGATTGCAAGGTAGGATATGACTTAAAATACGGTAAATCACTTCTTATTTACGAGATCTTTATTTTTTCGTAATTACAGATAACCGGCAAAACTATCATTCTCATGTATATAGTCTTTGCAAAGATTTCATATAGCAGTAATCATAGTTCCTGAAAATTTTGTCTAGCTAATACTGATAGTTAATGTCTATCTCACGAAAATAAGGTGTTGTGAAAATAAAGTGATCTACAGTTTGACAAGAAATATAAATTTGTTTTTTGTGTGATAAACAGTATTGTGGAATCACTTTAATTTGTGGGGGTCAATCTTTTTGGGTCAATGTTTAGACACAAATTTACTTGTTCAAGGAATGCAATTTGTGAGTTACTTGTTTAAATGGTAAATTCAATAAATTGATTTGTTGACAATAAAAACATTTGTGGCAATCTTAATTTGTGGTTAGGGATGACCAATGGAATTCATAAACAAATGATCCCCCATGAAATTAACATGTACTTGACCTATTCAAGAATGATCAGTTTGTTCAGGTATTTCCTACAAAATGTATACAGTAACACACACTTGTAGCCAAATCCTTTGATTTGTAATCAGTGTTAATGAATATATGTTAAGTTCATACTTTTTTTTGAAAGAACCAGAAATGAACATTTAACTGTACTATATAAAGCCGGAATTCCTTATAACCTTGTTGCTGTTATAGTACATTGTACTTTGCTATTTTAAGCGTGAAGAATAAAATACATCATCCCCCACCCATAAGTTACATGATTATTCCTAACTTTCCCCACTAACCTTAAACAGGAGTTGGCAGACAAGATGCTGGAGATGATCAGCATTGTATCAGTGGACATCCAGAGAGAAATCATCACCTGTCTACCTGAGGTTGTGGAGGATTCAGAGCACAGTCATGTGGCCACATCACTGAGGTAAGCTTGACCAAACCGTGAAATCCCCCCCCCCCCCCCCACACACACACACACACACACATACACACATACACAAACAACATTTTAATGATTCAACAGCAAGAATCTCTGATCAGCATCAGAAAGGTGAGGATAACTGAAAAAACATTACAAAGCTCTGCAAATCAGATCAACAACATAGATAGGCATGTTTGATAAACATCAAGAAAGAAAGCTGCATATCAAAAATGAAAATGTGTGTAACATTTACTGCTTTACTAGTCATTAGCACTGTATGTATTGTTTTAGTACAAAAGGAATGCATGTATGTTTATACAATGATAGAAAAAAATGGCTTTTTTGATAAATTTTTTGAGTAGTTTTATATTTAATACTGTTATATTTGTTGCTATCAGGGATCTACTGGTAGAAAAAAGCAGTCTCACTGTACCCATCCTGGATGCTCTCTCTAACCTCAATCTCAACCCAGAACTCATGATGGAGGTAAGAATTCTACAGAAATGTTATACCATAACAGTAAGCTTGCTCTGAAGATGATATGTACAGTAAATGCAACTGTAGGAGTTAAATTAGTACAAAAATTTAAGTATTTTAAGAAAGTGTATGTGGTCTTTTTGGGAGTGTATTTTAAGTGCATTGTATGAGCTGTATGAGAAGAGTAAAAGATGTAGTAGTAGGTTTGATGATCAGTAATACAGACTGATGTACCCTAGGCAAGATTTTGATTTAAACAACATTTTATTATATTTAAGCATAACAAGATTAGACAGTAGGCACATTATATTATACATTCCTGTTGGTCTGCGAATACGTGCTACAGACTCTGGTATCGGTGTACACTAGGCTAGATGTAATGTCCACAGTACTTTATATTATACATTGTAGGTTCGCGGCTCCGTACTACAGACTCTGGTATCGGTGTACACTAGGCTAGATGTAATGTCTACAGTACTTCATATTATACATTGTAGGTTCGCGGCTCCGTACTACAGACTCTGGTATCGGTGTACACTAGGCTAGATGTAATGTCTACAGTACTACATATTATACATTGTAGGTTCGCGGCTCCGTACTACAGACTCTGGTATCAATGTACACTAGGCTAGATGTAATGTCCACAGTACTTTATATTATACATTGTAGGTTCGCGGCTCCGTACTACAGACTCTGGTATCGGTGTACACTAGGCTAGATGTAATGTCTACAGTACTTCATATTATACATTGTAGGTTCGCGGCTCCTTACTACAGACTCTGGTATCGGTGTACACTAGGCTAGATGTAATGTCTACAGTACTTCATATTATACATTGTAGGTTCGCGGCTCCGTACTACAGACTCTGGTATCGGTGTACACTAGGCTAGATGTAATGTCTACAGTACTTCATATTATACATTGTAGGTTCGCGGCTCCGTACTACAGACTCTGGTACATGTATCGGTGTACACTAGGCTAGATGTAATGTCTACAGTACTTCATATTATACATTGTAGGTTCGCGGCTCCGTACTACAGACTCTGGTATCGGTGTACACTAGGCTAGATGTAATGTCTACAGTACTTTATATTATACATTGTAGGTTCGCGGCTCCGTACTACAGACTCTGGTATCGGTGTACACTAGGCTAGATGTAATGTCCACAGTACTTTATATTATACATTGTAGGTTCGCGGCTCCGTACTACAGACTCTGGTATCAGTGTACACTAGGCTAGATGTAAAGTCTACAGTACTTCATATTATACATTGTAGGTTCGCGGCTCCGTACTACAGACTCTGGTATCGGTGTACACTAGGCTAGATGTAATGTCTACAGTACTTTATATTATACATTGTAGGTTCGCAGCTCCGTACTACAGACTCTGGTATCGGTGTACACTAGGCTAGATGTAATGTCCACAGTACTTTATATTATACATTGTAGGTTCGCGGCTCTGTACTACAGACTCTGGTATCGGTGTACACTAGGCTAGATGTAATGTCTACAGTACTTCATATTATACATTGTAGGTTCGCTGCTCCGTACTACAGACTCTGGTATCGGTGTACACTAGGCTAGATGTAATGTCTACAGTACTTCTTATTATACATTGTAGGTTCGCGGCTCCGTACTACAGACTCTGGTATCAATGTACACTAGGCTAGATGTAATGTCCACAGTACTTTATATTATACATTGTAGGTTCGCGGCTCCGTACTACAGACTCTGGTATCGGTGTACACTAGGCTAGATGTAATGTCCACAGTACTTCATATTATACATTGTAGGTTCGCGGCTCCGTACTACAGACTCTGGTATCGGTGTACACTAGGCTAGATGTAATGTCTACAGTACTTCATATTATACATTGTAGGTTCGCGGCTCCGTACTACAGACTCTGGTATCAATGTACACTAGGCTAGATGTAATGTCCACAGTACTTTATATTATACATTGTAGGTTCGCGGCTCCGTACTACAGACTCTGGTATCGGTGTACACTAGGCTAGATGTAATGTCTACAGTACTTCATATTATACATTGTAGGTTCGCGGCTCCGTACTACAGACTCTGGTATCGGTGTACACTAGGCTAGATGTAATGTCTACAGTACTTCTTATTATACATTGTAGGTTCGCGGCTCCGTACTACAGACTCTGGTATCAATGTACACTAGGCTAGATGTAATGTCCACAGTACTTTATATTATACATTGTAGGTTCGCGGCTCCGTACTACAGACTCTGGTATCGGTGTACACTAGGCTAGATGTAAAGTCTACAGTACTTCATATTATACATTGTAGGTTCGCGGCTCCTTACTACAGACTCTGGTATCGGTGTACACTAGGCTAGATGTAATGTCCACAGTACTTCATATTATACATTGTAGGTTCGCGGCTCCGTACTACAGACTCTGGTATCGGTGTACACTAGGCTAGATGTAATGTCTACAGTACTACATATTATACATTGTAGGTTCGCGGCTCCGTACTACAGACTCTGGTATCGGTGTACACTAGGCTAGATGTAATGTCTACAGTACTTTATATTATACATTGTAGGTTCGCGGCTCCGTACTACAGACTCTGGTATCGGTGTACACTAGGCTAGATGTAAAGTCTACAGTACTTCATATTATACATTGTAGGTTCGCGGCTCCTTACTACAGACTCTGGTATCGGTGTACACTAGGCTAGATGTAATGTCTACAGTACTTTATATTATACATTGTAGGTTCGCGGCTCCGTACTACAGACTCTGGTATCGGTGTACACTAGGCTAGATGTAATGTCTACAGTACTTCATATTATACATTGTAGGTTCGCGGCTCCGTACTACAGACTCTGGTATCGGTGTACACTAGGCTAGATGTAATGTCCACAGTACTTTATATTATACATTGTAGGTTCGCGGCTCCGTACTACAGACTCTGGTATCGGTGTACACTAGGCTAGATGTAATGTCTACAGTACTTCATATTATACATTGTAGGTTCGCGGCTCTGTACTACAGACTCTGGTATCGGTGTACACTAGGCTAGATGTAATGTCTACAGTACTACATATTATACATTGTAGGTTCGCGGCTCCGTACTACAGACTCTGGTATCGGTGTACACTAGGCTAGATGTAATGTCCACAGTACTTCATATTATACATTGTAGGTTCGCGGCTCCGTACTACAGACTCTGGTATCGGTGTACACTAGGCTAGATGTAATGTCCACAGTACTTCATATTATACATTGTAGGTTCGCGGCTCCGTACTACAGACTCTGGTATCGGTGTACACTAGGCTAGATGTAATGTCTACAGTACTACATATTATACATTGTAGGTTCACGGCTCCGTACTACAGACTCTGGTATCAATGTACACTAGGCTAGATGTAATGTCCACAGTACTTTATATTATACATTGTAGGTTCGCGGCTCCGTACTACAGACTCTGGTATCGGTGTACACTAGGCTAGATGTAATGTCTACAGTACTTCATATTATACATTGTAGGTTCGCGGCTCCTTACTACAGACTCTGGTATCGGTGTACACTAGGCTAGATGTAATGTCTACAGTACTTCATATTATGCATTGTAGGTTCGCGGCTCCGTACTACAGACTCTGGTATCGGTGTACACTAGGCTAGATGTAATGTCCACAGTACTTTATATTATACATTGTAGGTTCGCGGCTCCTTACTACAGACTCTGGTATCGGTGTACACTAGGCTAGATGTAATGTCCACAGTACTTCATATTATACATTGTAGGTTCGCGGCTCCGTACTACAGACTCTGGTATCGGTGTACACTAGGCTAGATGTAATGTCCACAGTACTTCATATTATACATTGTAGGTTCGCGGCTCCGTACTACAGACTCTGGTATCGGTGTACACTAGGCTAGATGTAATGTCTACAGTACTTCATATTATACATTGTAGGTTTGCGGCTCCGTACTACAGACTCTGGTACATGTATCGGTGTACACTAGGCTAGATGTAATGTCTACAGTACTTTATATTATACATTGTAGGTTCGCGGCTCCGTACTACAGACTCTGGTATCGGTGTACACTAGGCTAGATGTAATGTCCACAGTACTTTATATTATACATTGTAGGTTCGCGGCTCCGTACTACAGACTCTGGTATCGGTGTACACTAGGCTAGATGTAATGTCCACAGTACTTTATATTATACATTGTAGGTTCGCGGCTCCGTACTACAGACTCTGGTATCGGTGTACACTAGGCTAGATGTAATGTCTACAGTACTTCATATTATACATTGTAGGTTCGCGGCTCCGTACTACAGACTCTGGTATCGGTGTACACTAGGCTAGATGTAATGTCTACAGTACTTCTTATTATACATTGTAGGTTCGCGGCTCCTTACTACAGACTCTGGTATCGGTGTACACTAGGCTAGATGTAATGTCTACAGTACTTCATATTATACATTGTAGGTTCGCAGCTCCGTACTACAGACTCTGGTATCGGTGTACACTAGGCTAGATGTAATGTCCACAGTACTTTATATTATACATTGTAGGTTCGCGGCTCCGTACTACAGACTCTGGTATCGGTGTACACTAGGCTAGATGTAATGTCCACAGTACTTCATATTATACATTGTAGGTTCGCGGCTCCGTACTACAGACTCTGGTATCGGTGTACACTAGGCTAGATGTAATGTCTACAGTACTTCTTATTATACATTGTAGGTTCGCGGCTCCGTACTACAGACTCTGGTATCAATGTACACTAGGCTAGATGTAATGTCCACAGTACTTCATATTATACATTGTAGGTTCGCGGCTCCGTACTACAGACTCTGGTATCGGTGTACACTAGGCTAGATGTAATGTCCACAGTACTTCATATTATACATTGTAGGTTCGCGGCTCCGTACTACAGACTCTGGTATCGGTGTACACTAGGCTAGATGTAATGTCCACAGTACTACATATTATACATTGTAGGTTCGCGGCTCCGTACTACAGACTCTGGTATCAATGTACACTAGGCTAGATGTAATGTCCACAGTACTTTATATTATACATTGTAGGTTCGCGGCTCCGTACTACAGACTCTGGTATCGGTGTACACTAGGCTAGATGTAATGTCCACAGTACTTCATATTATACATTGTAGGTTCGCGGCTCCGTACTACAGACTCTGGTATCGGTGTACACTAGGCTAGATGTAATGTCTACAGTACTTCTTATTATACATTGTAGGTTCGCGGCTCCGTACTACAGACTCTGGTATCAATGTACACTAGGCTAGATGTAATGTCCACAGTACTTTATATTATACATTGTAGGTTCGCGGCTCCGTACTACAGACTCTGGTATCGGTGTACACTAGGCTAGATGTAAAGTCTACAGTACTTCATATTATACATTGTAGGTTCGCGGCTCCTTACTACAGACTCTGGTATCGGTGTACACTAGGCTAGATGTAATGTCCACAGTACTTCATATTATACATTGTAGGTTCGCGGCTCCGTACTACAGACTCTGGTATCGGTGTACACTAGGCTAGATGTAATGTCTACAGTACTACATATTATACATTGTAGGTTCGCGGCTCCGTACTACAGACTCTGGTATCGGTGTACACTAGGCTAGATGTAATGTCTACAGTACTTTATATTATACATTGTAGGTTCGCGGCTCCGTACTACAGACTCTGGTATCGGTGTACACTAGGCTAGATGTAAAGTCTACAGTACTTCATATTATACATTGTAGGTTCGCGGCTCCTTACTACAGACTCTGGTATCGGTGTACACTAGGCTAGATGTAATGTCTACAGTACTTTATATTATACATTGTAGGTTCGCGGCTCCGTACTACAGACTCTGGTATCGGTGTACACTAGGCTAGATGTAATGTCTACAGTACTTCATATTATACATTGTAGGTTCGCGGCTCCGTACTACAGACTCTGGTATCGGTGTACACTAGGCTAGATGTAATGTCCACAGTACTTTATATTATACATTGTAGGTTCGCGGCTCCGTACTACAGACTCTGGTATCGGTGTACACTAGGCTAGATGTAATGTCTACAGTACTTCATATTATACATTGTAGGTTCGCGGCTCCGTACTACAGACTCTGGTATCGGTGTACACTAGGCTAGATGTAATGTCTACAGTACTACATATTATACATTGTAGGTTCGCGGCTCCGTACTACAGACTCTGGTATCGGTGTACACTAGGCTAGATGTAATGTCCACAGTACTTCATATTATACATTGTAGGTTCGCGGCTCCGTACTACAGACTCTGGTATCGGTGTACACTAGGCTAGATGTAATGTCCACAGTACTTCATATTATACATTGTAGGTTCGCGGCTCCGTACTACAGACTCTGGTATCGGTGTACACTAGGCTAGATGTAATGTCCACAGTACTTCATATTATACATTGTAGGTTCGCGGCTCCGTACTACAGACTCTGGTATCGGTGTACACTAGGCTAGATGTAATGTCTACAGTACTACATATTATACATTGTAGGTTCACGGCTCCGTACTACAGACTCTGGTATCAATGTACACTAGGCTAGATGTAATGTCCACAGTACTTTATATTATACATTGTAGGTTCGCTGCTCCGTACTACAGACTCTGGTATCGGTGTACACTAGGCTAGATGTAATGTCTACAGTACTTCATATTATACATTGTAGGTTCGCGGCGCCGTACTACAGACTCTGGTATCGGTGTACACTAGGCTAGATGTAATGTCTACAGTACTTCATATTATACATTGTAGGTTCGCGGCTCCGTACTACAGACTCTGGTATCGGTGTACACTAGGCTAGATGTAATGTCCACAGTACTTTATATTATACATTGTAGGTTCGCGGCTCCTTACTACAGACTCTGGTATCGGTGTACACTAGGCTAGATGTAATGTCCACAGTACTTCATATTATACATTGTAGGTTCGCGGCTCCGTACTACAGACTCTGGTATCGGTGTACACTAGGCTAGATGTAATGTCCACAGTACTTCATATTATACATTGTAGGTTCGCGGCTCCGTACTACAGACTCTGGTATCGGTGTACACTAGGCTAGATGTAATGTCTACAGTACTTCATATTATACATTGTAGGTTTGCGGCTCCGTACTACAGACTCTGGTACATGTATCGGTGTACACTAGGCTAGATGTAATGTCTACAGTACTTTATATTATACATTGTAGGTTCGCGGCTCCGTACTACAGACTCTGGTATCGGTGTACACTAGGCTAGATGTAATGTCCACAGTACTTTATATTATACATTGTAGGTTCGCGGCTCCGTACTACAGACTCTGGTATCGGTGTACACTAGGCTAGATGTAATGTCCACAGTACTTTATATTATACATTGTAGGTTCGCGGCTCCGTACTACAGACTCTGGTATCGGTGTACACTAGGCTAGATGTAATGTCTACAGTACTTCATATTATACATTGTAGGTTCGCGGCTCCGTACTACAGACTCTGGTATCGGTGTACACTAGGCTAGATGTAATGTCTACAGTACTTCTTATTATACATTGTAGGTTCGCGGCTCCGTACTACAGACTCTGGTATCAATGTACACTAGGCTAGATGTAATGTCCACGGTACTTTATATTATACATTGTAGGTTCGCGGCTCCGTACTACAGACTCTGGTATCGGTGTACACTAGGCTAGATGTAAAGTCTACAGTACTTCATATTATACATTGTAGGTTCGCGGCTCCTTACTACAGACTCTGGTATCGGTGTACACTAGGCTAGATGTAATGTCCACAGTACTTCATATTATACATTGTAGGTTCGCGGCTCCGTACTACAGACTCTGGTACATGTATCGGTGTACACTAGGCTAGATGTAATGTCTACAGTACTTCATATTGTACATTGTAGGTTCGCGGCTCCGTACTACAGACTCTGGTATCAATGTACACTAGGCTAGATGTAATGTCCACAGTACTTTATATTATACATTGTAGGTTCGCGGCTCCGTACTACAGACTCTGGTACATGTATCGGTGTACACTAGGCTAGATGTAATGTCCACAGTACTTCATATTATACATTGTAGGTTCGCGGCTCCGTACTACAGACTCTGGTACATGTATCGGTGTACACTAGGCTAGATGTAATGTCTACAGTACTACATATTATACATTGTAGGTTCGCTGCTCCGTACTACAGACTCTGGTATCGGTGTACACTAGGCTAGATGTAATGTCCACAGTACTTTATATTATACATTGTAGGTTCGCGGCTCCGTACTACAGACTCTGGTATCAGTGTACACTAGGCTAGATGTAATGTCTACAGTACTACATATTATACATTGTAGGTTCGCTGCTCCGTACTACAGACTCTGGTATCGGTGTACACTAGGCTAGATGTAATGTCCACAGTACTTTATATTATACATTGTAGGTTCGCGGCTCCGTACTACAGACTCTGGTATCGGTGTACACTAGGCTAGATGTAATGTCTACAGTACTTCTTATTATACATTGTAGGTTCGCGGCTCCGTACTACAGACTCTGGTGTCGGTGTACACTAGGCTAGATGTAATGTCCACAGTACTTCATATTATACATTGTAGGTTCGCGGCTCCGTACTACAGACTCTGGTATCGGTGTACACTAGGCTAGATGTAATGTCTACAGTACTTCATATTATACATTGTAGGTTCGCGGCTCCGTACTACAGACTCTGGTATCGGTGTACACTAGGCTAGATGTAATGTCTACAGTACTTCATATTATACATTGTAGGTTCGCGGCTCCGTACTACAGACTCTGGTATCGGTGTACACTAGGCTAGATGTAATGTCTACAGTACTTCATATTATACATTGTAGGTTCGCGGCTCCGTACTACAGACTCTGTCCACAGTGGAGGTGGAGAATTTACCTGTTGTGGTCCGCTTCCTTCTTCAGTCTGTCACCCCAGCTGATGATCAGGAGGTAGGAGAAACAAGAGGGACTCATTTTACAATTTTACTGAACTGTTGACTGCAGTACAAGTTTAAGATAGTTTCAACTGTAATATGAACACTGTGCATCCTAACTGTCTTGCATTAAATAAGTCTTCATTGGGAAGAGCAGATTAGCAGCCATAATTGTACATGTAAGTCTTGGGTACCAAATTCATTCCAGCTGATTTCAAAGATACTTCTTCATGTTCTAGGTGTAATTGTTTGTAGGTTGTCATGGAAATTCGACAGAACCTTGATTTTACATCCAGTTTTCCATTAGCTACATCCACACCCCATGAAACAGTTAGCAGGAGGTAGGAGGCCTGTATAAAGATTGTGAAGTTTGTCAGTATTTGTTCTTTTATTTGCACTGTAGAACTGAATTGAACCAAACATCCTAATATTAAATATTCATATTTCAGACAGCTGTCTGGAGATGAAACAAGAGGTGTAGAGTCTTTGACACTGGATGCTATCAAATCAGGAATCAGGTTTCAAAAGAGTGTCGCAGAGGCATGGATAAAGGTTTGCAGTTTGCAATATTTTTGAGAACAGTCTGACATATAAATAAAATCAACAAATCAGTAAATAAATAGAATGCAGAGAAGGGTACCTGCTAGGTTCCCAGATTATTCTCCATAAGAATCAATGATTTAAATGTTAATATTATTGATATTAAAATTACATTCGTATATTTTAAATCAAGAAAAATATCTTTTTTGCAGGCTATAGATTCTGTGAAGCAAACCTCTGACCACAAAGTAATAGACTTGTTTATCCTGCTGATTTTATACTCCACTGATCGAAAGAAACCTGTAGAGAGCCTCATCAGAAATAAAATCAGGTCAGGGGCCTTCACAGAGGTTCTGCTGCAGGAGGCCTTTAGGGAAAGGGCTCAGGTGATTGTTCTTCTAACTTAGTACAAATGCTGTTATTGTTAATTTTAAAGGCAATAGTTTTATAACAAAATGCCAGGGATGGGTGATTTTGCTCCATTCTAAAAGTAATTCGTTCAATCCGTAAGCTTCACAATATCTTCAGGGCTCTCGATTCTCTAAAATTGGGGCCGTTCAACGGCCCCGTTCCCAATGCAAAAAAGGTACCTTTTTTCCCAAAAGAAAGGTGTAAATTTCCCAATTTCCATCCAGAGTAAAATATTAATTAAAAATAAAAGTCTCAAACCTAATCGCAAAAAAAAAAACCCAAACAAAACACATTTGCAAATGAAAGTGAAACTGTACTACTATTTTATTAGTTCGTGCCAAATGCATTCGTAAACTGGTTCGGGGAACCAGGTTATTGTTTTTACAAAAATGTATACAACTATGAGTTCAGAGTATCTTGTTATGTAGTTTCCATTCTCTATCCAGAGTTGTCGTTCCCGCTACGCTCCCACATACACCTCTGTCAACGCTTGTTTTACAAGATTCTTGTAAAAATTGTAAATGATTAAAAATTGTATTAATAGTCGTTTATAATTATATTTCTTATCGGAAAACAATATTTATTTTAATTTGTTACACCTTAAAAGGATTTTTTAATTAAGATTTAAATTTTTACTGCGCAAAATAGTTCCCTTAAAACTTTGAAAATAAGTCGTTTTAAGGGAATATAGGTTTGAAATAAATGATGAATTATCATTTTTATCAATAATTACAATAATTAATTACTATTTTAACTTCAAAATTTCACCGTTTAAAATTTGTACAAGAATCTTGTACAACGAGCGTTGACAGAGGTGTAGTGAGCGTAGCGGAAGACA